TCAGCATGCCAGTATGAAAGTATTTGATACGTAAGGGTGCTCTTCTGCTAAGCTCCACGCAGGATCAAGTATCAACATCATGGGTCATCTAGGAATTTGTAATATCATACCTTTAAACAAGAATTGATCAGGATACTTGTGAGCTATGCAAAACCATCCTACCTAAATTTTCTTTCTAAATCTCAAAACAAAAGGAAAACACACTCAAACATTTCCAACACTATCACAAATATGTGAATTCCTCTATTTACTTATCAGTACATCAGTTTTAATTTGTCCAGTATTTGCCAGACAATACTGCCTGCAAAAGTCCTCTTTATGGATACTTTTCTTGTGTTTAATATAGCCCATAGCATGTATAAAATCCTTTTCCTTAGCTGCCAGGCTTTGGAATGTAACAGAACCTTCCAGTTAAGAGAGATGTCTTCTCATCTTATTAGTAGGTTACACAGTTATCAAAGCAGAAGTCTTACTTTTTGGCAAACTCTGAAAGAACACCACCTGAAGGAATTTCACTTTGTTTAACAATAAATTGAAACATAAAATTTCATGGGTGTCCATGCTGATGTGTTCACAGCCCTAGAAACAAGTTGAAACCCCAATAAATCCTTACTAGTTTTCACCTCCACAGACAAGCTAATGGTATGCTTCACAGAACTCAAATTTCAGATGATGGAATGGGTAAGAGTTTATCAGCTGTTCTACATGTCATTTAAAATGTGATCCAAAGAAATTTAAAAAAACAAACAAAAAAACCCCCCAAAAACAAAACCCCACCAGTTACACAGAATCCCTAATAAATGACTTAGGGAAAGGTGAAAATTAACTATATAAAGTTCTATGAGGTGCACCTACCTAGAGACAGGCCTTTAGGTTTAGGAAGAAGTACACTACCACGTTACAGCTCCGAACAACTGACTTTACGCCTTAAGACTCTGGAGAACAATCAGATGGAAGTTAGAAAATCATTTTTGGTAAGTGACAAGAATGATTTAGTGGTTTTGTTAAAGGTCTTGGATGGTTAGGTTTAAGATTTGATTTAAAAACTCTGTATTCATTTTGGAGCAAAGGAATAACTGAAGTTCTTAATGAGAAACTATCTCTGAAGTGGATTAGACTAAGTATTAAACTTTCAGTATGATTAGATAAGCAATAACTTTATTCAGCTAACATTTTTGACAAAATAGCACAGGTCAGAGCTTTAACAGGTAACTGCAATGTACAGGAAGACAAAGCTATGCTCTGATGACTGAAATTTAACATTGCCTTCTCTACCCTCTGCCATCCACCAGATGAAGGAAGAGGAAGAGAGGAAATATGTCACAGGCTTGAAAGGCCCAGTTGGCAACTGGATTACAAACTACTGAATGCTGTATCTTTCAGGATACCAGAAAGTGGTCCACAGACTTGCAAAACAGAGTTATCAAGAACTTACTCTCATGTGCATTTCACTGAATGTTTTTCTTTTCCAATTCCATCTCTGTAAGCCAGAGGCTTTAGACCATTTATTGCAGATTCAGAAAGAGCTTAAGCACAATAACTTTTGCCTACAACAGAACCTAACCTACTCTCTTTCAGTGGCCTTAAAATGTAGTTAATGTGCAGTTTGTGGGAAGGTGTATATAGGAGGCCACAAGATACTGCAGAGCTGGGATGGAAAGACTGCTTAGCTTCTGAAGTTATGTCAAAGAATGACAAGATCTCTGGGTGGTCCTGGTAACAACTGAAGTGAGAGTCTTTAGCTCCCCTACACCTTAGGTGTTATTAAGTGGCAATGAATATGATGACAATATGATTGTCAGCCTGGACTCCACAGCAAACAAGCATTTTTCTAGCCTCTATTATAAACTCCACCAGAAAAGGGCTTTGATGACAACTCAGAGGATTGGGAGCCAGCAGCACTACAGACTAACTGCTACTAAATGAACATTGTTTCATTAAGTTTGAAATCCTCTATCAAGATGACGTAGAAAAGAACAACTTATATTTGAACTGAGGACTCAATCATTTTCCCGAGATTTAGGAGGTAAGAGCAACTGACAGAAAGCTTTAAATACTGAACTTGGACTCTGAAGAGGTGCCTGACATTCATAGGCATAAGAGCTGCAGTATTTGTTCTTACAAAATTGTCAAGTGAAGGAGCACACCAATAATTAGTATGGACTTCCTCATTCTCTTATGTGGGGTAGAATGAAAAAAACTAGAAAATTGAAGGACAGTACAAGTAGTAAACCATTTTTAGGCAAGGCTGAGTTTTTAAGTTGGCCTGCCACTGAAAGAACTTGGTATTATGGTATTAAAATACCTTTTCCCCCCCTGAACTTTAAAAATTTTATTTTCTGGGACTGCTACTAAAAAGTAACAGTTTCAAAAAGTAAAATTTCTGCAGTCCTGACAGAAGTGCCCGAGGCCAGCATTTGATCAGAATGCAAGGGAATAACTCTCATTCTGTAGAGAGGAAGAGATATAGAAAATAATTTCTTATGAAACAAAATCCACATACAGGCTGGCTACATTTATATTCTTAACATCTAGGACCATGTTGGTGTACACATTTGTACAGTTCTTAACACTTCTTAGTTCTTAAGTCCAGACATGGCAAGTCTGCAAGCTTTTTTCAATCAACTTTGTTTTTCTTAGCACCCTCTTTAGAACAAGTGGTCAAGAACTGACCCTAGGTCAGATTGAACTTCAAAGGGACAAAAAAATTTCACTTAAGTTATTATCTGTATCTCCCTTTCTAAAGATGACACCACTAAGCAGTCAGCTCATGGTCTCAGGAGGCCACTGGCCTAGAAATGACAGCGATTCGGCCATTCTTCCCCAGCATTTTCTTCCGTATGGAGATCTTCAAAGGACTTTGCATTTCTTTCCAACCAAGCAGCAGTCTAACATTTTTAAATAATAGGGATACTTCATACCTACCAGTAGTATTTGGCCCAATTTCAAACAAAATATATTTCCTATACTTGTTTCCAAACCTCATATGAGTCTGTTCTAATATTTGAACATACTGTTTTCTTTTCCACTAAGTGACAGAAATCTGAAGGGGTTCTTTGCATCTAAAGTGTCTCTTCTGAAAGCTTGCTGGAGGAATACTTGGGGAAGAAGAGAGAAGCAAGAAATGAGTAAACAAGAAGGTAAACCACAAGACAAAGCACCAGCAGCAGAATTCTAACAATCCCCATGCAATTACAGAAAGGAATCAACTTCCCTTGGGAGACTGCAATCTAACGCTGTGAAAACAAAACTGTTCTCCTCATTAACTTTACAGACGAGACTTAAAACAAAGAATGCTAGCTTGCTTGCTTCTATTCTTATTGAGGAAAAAGTTTGACTTTGCAGATTGGAATTGCAAAGGTTCCCATACTCAAACAGCTTCAGTGGCCATTTCACGAATTAGAAGGCATGTCAAAAAAGCCAATGAATTCCTGCCACCTTGTTAGAGAGAACGACGGAAGAAGTTCTCTAATTCAAATGGTCTGTAATCTATTTAAGTCTGTCTACAATACCTTGAGGAAATTCTAAAGCCTTCAGAAAGGCACTTGGGGGTAGATGATGCCACTTAAGTTTTAGCCAGCAAGAATCGTCTTTTCTCACAATAACCCAGCTGATTTACCTTCATCTATACCTCTAGTCTGAAAAGCCTTGACATTAGATTTCCTGTCATTTGAGGATAACTTGTACTGAAGTGAGGGCAAGCATGATAGTTTACCTTTTAAAATTTTCCAAACCCAGTCATTTATTTGCAGTTATACGTTAACCACAGAATTTACTTGGACAGCCAGAAGGCATTAACAACAGGAAAAAAAAAAAACAACCATGTTTGGATTTTCATTACTGGGCACAACACAAGTAACAGCAGAAAGCAGGATAACTGAAGGCACATGAAGTGCTACAAAATGTAAGAACAGTCGGATGCTAGATTTGGAAGCTGGAGGTCTTCTGTCCCTTTTAAAATGGGAACCACAAGAATAAACAGTGGTTGTGAAAATCCCTTAGGGCCTGTTGCTGAAAAAAATCCTTAAACTTTGCATAATCTTTACCAAATGTCCACTTCAATCTTTTCATCTCATGTGAAGTCTTCTCTTCACCTGTTTACATGTGGTCAAAATGGAAGATAATTCAGCAGGTTTTGTAGAGGGGGTTTCCCCACAGCTAATCCATAGGGAATTTAAAGGGCTAGCCTTGACAAACTCAATCTGTAAATGAGAAGATATTCCCTGCAAATTAAATGCATTTTTTGACAAGCCAGAAGAAGCATTCTCAAGCAGGACCATTTTGGGACCTAGCTGCCATTTAAGCAGAAGGATCATACGTGGGTCCCATACTGCTAGCACAAGTAATGCAGTGCTCATCGTTTTCCTTTTCCATTGCTGCAAATTGTGGCTGAAAGAAAGCTAGAGGAGAAGAGAGGTGAAATGAAAGCTGCAGTGAGCAATCCAGTACCTAAAGTTACCTGTTAAATTTGTACTAGTGGAATCAGGATCCAGAAAATGTTAATTAACATCAGCTGAAGCAGTAATTCAGCAATAAAGTATGGTCAATTGTTTTTAATCCTCTGAAGCAGGTGGAGAAGACAAGCAAATTATCTCAGATGTTTTTTAATATTTTTAAATTATATTTTTAACATATCCTTACACATTTTCACTTGTGAACTCACCAGGCAATTGGGTGAAGAGCAGGATTAAGATACAACCACTTCCATCCATCATTAATATCATCAATGTCAGAAATTAGATTTCATTCCTGAGCTAATAAAGTTTAATAAAAATCACCAAGACTACTTTAGAGAATTCTATGAAATTCTAAATTAAAATCATTACTCAACAGCCTGTTCTGTAATACATCAGCTTAACAGATAAGTCTCTCTCAGTTACATTAAAGTAAGTCTGCAGTGAACTACAACCAAAGTTAAAACAAAAAAGTGCCTGTGATCAAAGGATCATTATTCCAGACCCATTGTGAATCAGTGAAAAGGAGAGTAGCAAAGGACATACCTTGGAACTGCTCCCAAAACAATCAAGTTGGCTTTTTGTTTGTTGTTTCCAATTACAGCATTTTTCATATCTCTGTAAATCCAGAAAGAAAAACAAACCCTGGTAAATTATGCTGAGGTACTGAGGGCTTAATCTATAGAAGTTACTATTTCCATGAAGGTTTATCAAGTAGTCTTCCACATGTCCATGCTGCACCTACAGGACTGAGTAGTGCTTCAGGGTACAGTTTCCACAGCCCACAGATAAATACCCCAGAGCTCTGGGATTCCATTACGTCCCAGCTTATGCAAGTAAGTAAAAACCCACACTATCTCACATGCACACCAGACATGAAAGTCTCATTACTGAGGAAAACTAGATATACTGGTTCTTTGTGCCCATATATTCACTAAACTTTTAAAAAAAAAAAAAAACATTTTTGGTTGGGAAAACAAAAAAAAAAAAAAAAAAAAAAGAGGAACAAGGAACTATCACCAGTCTCCAGAGACCAGGCTTTCACTCTCCTCTTCACCATAGGCTTCCTTTTGTGAATTTCAGCAGGACACCTAAACATCTGTATGTCAAAATTCCAGGAATAAAGTGGAAACAAAAGCATTTTCCTGTCTGAGAGTTACTGCAAGGTTAAATACATTAAAGGCATTCAGACTGTGGTAAAGGGACAAGGGAAGCATTTTGGAAAGAGGACACTGGTTACACACACTAAGAAGTCCTATGAAAATGCATTGTTTGCAACCTTCTTGTTCAGAAAATTGCTACTGTATCTTAAAAACCATCACCACCTTTTAAAGATTTTTTTTCTTCATATGAACATATTGAACATATATGAACATCCAGAGAATCTGAAAGCAAGCTAGCAACTTATGACCAGTTTCAGAAAATCAAGATGACACAGTTCTAGGAAACTTTCTAGTTGTAGGGGCCTTTATAAGAGCAGAGAACAAAAACAGTCCAAATGCAGATAATTCTTTATCAACAAAAAACAGAACTAGATTGATTATAGTGTTAGTAGTTGCAAAATTGATAAATTAATCACTGGCTAACTATACCCGTAACTCATTTAAATAATTTGGGAGCTTTAGTGGCTGCTTTAAGTTACCACATTTTCTTGCTACTGTATCACTCTTTCACCTGCTGTCTGCAAATTTTAAGAGACTTAGAGCAGCCCTGTTCTTTAAGATCCACCTTGGCCTGCATTAACACTACACAGTCCTTACATACCCACTGAATGTGCAAATTCCACTGCAATAAGCAGTTGTCCCAAGTGTTAAATTCACTTCATTAGAGTTATAAAAAACTTCTTGGCCAAGGCAGGCAATATCTGGACTGGCATAAACAGAACCTTTTATAAACCTCAATTAGTAAAAGGTAATTGCCCATTCTTCCTGAAGTATTTCTCCATGTGACTCACTCTCCTGTTGCATACACTTACTTGGCCACAGAAGAGCATTCTAGGAATTTTAAGCAAAGGGAGACTGTCTAAATTCTCAAGTTTGGCTAGTGATCTTGGATCTCCAACAAGGAAGCAGCATTAAAAGCAGCTGAACACTGACCTGCAGTTCTGTGTATCTCTTAACACAGGCAGAGTCAGGAAAACACTTGACCTCTCAAGTGAGCCATTACTTAACATGAATCTGCCTACCCAGCACACAGTTTTTCACAGCCAAGTATCAGCAAAAAACGTTGGACCTTTCTGTTATATCTCCTGTAAGTTTGGTAACTTCACACAATACAGGAGGTAGAGGAGAAAGAGCAAGATCAGAAGACAGGCTAAGCTGGAAGCCCAAGAAAATTTAAGGAATTCACTTGAAGATTTCACTGAACTCAGAAACAGTACTTCAGTGGTTTCTATGCTGAATGCTTGATATGGAAGTATCCCAGTCATTTTTAAAGGTTTTTAAAATACAAGAATGAGTCCAAAACAGTGACAAAAGCAATGATCAGATGTCTCAAAGGAATGGAAACTGTACCAACAGATGTGCTAGGTTCAGGTACTAAACTGCTCAGGCCACTCTAAGATTTCTAAAAAGGCTACCTCTCCCTGCTATCCTTAGGCACCAGCTCTCAAAGTCACTCATATCATGTATCTGTGAAGGCATCCTGAGAAGCTAAAGAGAAGGCACTTGCCAAGCACTCTGAAGAATTAACAAACAGATTTTGGTAACATTTTAATGCTCTGCTCAGGTGACTTTACACATTATTTTGTGTTTAAAACAAACAAAACCCAAAAAAACAAAACCAAAAAAAACCACTACCAACAAACTTCTGTGACTCCTGCACCAACTCCGCAATAGAATGACTTGTTAACCTTATAACTATTTAATATGTAATAAGTACTGACTATTAGAATTTGATTTAGAGACCCTTTCAGAAGTGGCAGGAGCATAGCGAAGTTCCATACCGCCCAGTTTAAGAGGTTTAGTGAGTTTGCAGTCCTGATCTGTAAATGAATCAGATGAGTTTCTCCATCCTAGTTCATAAAGTTCCTCAGAAAAGTCATGGCAGATAGACAAGAAATATCACAAGCTTGAGATTTCTGACAAAAATCCAACACATGTACATTCGACCACTCCAACTTGCAAGCAAGTAAAATACCTTCAAATTAGTAAGGTGACCAAAAACTGTCAGAGATTGGACTCAGCAAAGATCACCATGTTTGCATGCATTATGCCCTGGCACTCCCAAGTTCCATGCTTATCTCTTCAAATTTGCCACTTACAGAAATTAACCTGTTCAATGCACAGGAAGCAGGGATATGGAAACCAAGAATATCCTTAAAATGCCAAAACCCAATGCTGAATAATAGCAGACTTTTTTTTGTTTACTATGAAAAATAATTATGTGATTCCATATTATGTTTTTGGAGATTTTCCTGTTCAGGAAGCTAATCTCCTTAAGAAGTAAAGTACCACCATGTGCTGCCCTAGTCTACCAGGTCCTGGGTGTATCACGAACCTTGGAAAAACTGAGGGCAGCTCCCTTATTTGAAAACATCATATCCAACGAGTTTGTGCTTGACTGATTTCAGATCCAAGACAACATAAGATTCATCCAAGGAGAAAAAGCAGTAAAGATCACTATCTTCTACAAGAGGTAACAAAGAAACTTCAGAAATTTGTAGTCCAAAACCGGATACCCACTTTATTTCCGAATGTCCTGCACACTGCTCCCATTTCCTACTGTGAAAAGGAGTCCTTGAAATGAGGAAGAAGGAAACAACAGCAGAAACACAATCACAAAGAGATGAGACCTTCAAAAGAACAACTAGTCTATGGTGATTCTAGGCCTAACCTGTGAGAAGACCATGATCCAGAAGAGGGAGATACACAGGCTTACCCACAATCAGCTCCAAGCTCTCAGACAGTTTATCAACCCTATTGCCAGGCAACAGCACAGGGTGAGCAGCTTCAGAAGAAAAATGCAGATCTTACACATCTACCTAGTACATTCCAGTACTACTTAGTTTCGCAGCCTCATAAAGGTAGCTTTCTATAGAGCCAAAAGACAAACCATGAAGCTTTCATATGACAGACGTCTTATGATGCATTTGAGGTTCATTGGTTTTTTGGTTGTTTTGGTTTTTTTGGGTTTTTGTTTTTTTGGTTTTTTTTAAATATCCTGTGTATTAAATCTTATAGTTTAGATTCAAACTAAATTCAAAGTCATTTAACAAAATAACGTGAATTACAATAATTTTAATGCATAGATTTAAAATCCGATAGCTGATATTTATGCCTACACTTACTATAATGCAATAAAGTAATTTCTGTGAAAAAACTTTCAAGCAGGATAATATAGGCTGCCAACAATAAAATAAAACAAAGAGATCCTAGCTAAGCGCTTGGAAATACTGCTTCCTGAAGTGCTAAGCCAGCTTTTTCCATCTCTTATTGCTTCTTAAAGAAATAAGAATATAGTTTCATTAGTTCAATCCTGGGACCACTCAGGTTTAAGTTATGAAACTAACTAGAGGCTGAAAAAGCAGAAAGACTTATTTTCTTCCTACAAACTCTAGAAAAGGGGAAAAAAAATTATCAGGTGAGGTTTATCAGCTCTAACAGTCTTCTGGAACATAGCAACCCAGTAGCAATCAGTTCAGTTAATTAGCTATAAATAAAATGCAATGCATGCTAGTTTCGTAAGTGTATTAGATAAGCAAGAAGCAACATTAAATATAAAAATTTGTGAGTAAAATATGGCCTTTAAGTTTTAATGAATCCTAGCCAAAAAATTTAATATTATGAAATATCTTAGTCCTAAGAAAACTAGCATTCTAGTCTGTTAATGTAAATTATTATTGTAGAAACAACTTAAAAGTGCTGAACTTTGTCCTAAGCAGAAATTATTGAAGTTCAACATCTTCATGAAGTCTCCACAAAAACACCAGAAGTGTCCAGTACATAGTGTGCAGTCCTCTGAACTGGTATGAGCTAACTTCCCAGCTGAGAGAACAGACCTCTAAAGCATTCCTAGCAAGCCCCAATACCTGCACCTCTTCTGCAAGAGATCATAAGAAAACAACATGGATACATGGACTCCTTGGTGAGAATTTGGTTTTACCTACATTTTATATACAGTAAATCAAGCACAAACACAAGAAATTTTAAACTTCTGATAGGAAGCCCTAGAGCCTTCCTATGTCACCTTCTAGCAAAGCAACACAAAAGATCTTGAAACAAGCTAGAGTGACTTGATGAGGAAGCAGCAGTAGGAACCACACAGAAGAGGAAGAAATAAACAGCCTGCATACTTTCTCATCTTATGTCTTTTGAAAATAGAGTAGGTAGCCATATTTAAGAAGTTCCTAGACAGAGAAGGATATCAAACACGAGATGAACAATCACAGAAGGAAAAGTAGTCCTAGAAACTTCCAAGCCAATGCTTTCACTTTTAGTATGAAACAGTTACAAGAGATTCCAAGACAATTACGCACACAGAGGAAGCAACCAAAACAATGTGTTGCCAGACCAGAAGATTTATCTACCAGAGGGTGATCAAAATTACAAACAATAGAATGACGCAAAGCATCATTCTGAAAAGGTGTTCCAAAACTTTAAATGCAAATATCTAAAAAG